TGCATTTGTATGTGTGTGTTTTGCACATTATGTGTCAGTCTGTGAGTGTCTGCAGCTGCCTTCCTGTTCCTCTTTCTGTCATGCATTGTTCCCCGATGCTGAGAGGTAAAGGGAACCTGCAAGCTTTGGACAATTCTCTCCTCCTCTCTGGCTTCAATTTCTCTCCGATATAGATGGGAGACTTGAACTCCATGATTTTGAAGGATCTGTGCAGATCTGACCATTCTTTTTTTTTTTTTTTTTGAGATGGAGTTTCACTCATGTTACCCAGGCTGGAGTGCAATGGCGTGATCTCGGCCCACCACAACCTCCGCCTCCTGGGTTCAGGCAATTCTCCTGCCTCAGCCTCCTGGGTAGCTGGGATTACAGGCACGCACCACCATGCCCAGCTAATGTTTTGTATTTTTAGTAGAGACGGGGTTTCACCATGTTGACCAGGATGGTCTCGATCTCTTGACCTCGTGATCCACCCGTCTCGGCCTCCCAAAGTGCTGGGATTACAGGCTTGAGCCACCGCGCCCAGCCTGATCTGACCATTCTTAACTTCATCAATCACCACACATATTAGGAGTTCTTCCAAAAAAGATCTAAAGCAACAGTCAACAGCTTAAAGCTGCAATGGCAGGGATTGAAGTTAGAAGGACAAAGGCCCCAGACTGGCCTACACTGGCCTCAGGAGAGCCATGGAGCTCCTGGTTTGAAGCAAAAACTGTCAGAATTGAAAATCAGGCCCAAGGCCCCAGCTAGTGTCCTCCAACCCCTGTACTGGCCAGAGAGTTTCCATGTGACTTGCAGAGAGGGAGAGGGATTCACATGCCAACTCCCTGTGGGCTGCTGGGTAGGCAGAGGAATGGAAGAACAACTATCCAGGAAGACAGCCCTGGGCGGGAAGTGAAGTGTCCTCAGCCCTGCTTTGGCCCCCGCTGGCTCCTGATAAGCAGAAGGCTGGTGGGCCCCCACCCTGATAGCCCAGTGTCTGCTTATCGGGGTCCTTCGACTAACCCACCCAGGCCAGACTCTCCTGCAACCCACACCCTGCTCACAGAAATCCCCACCCCTGGCCAGGGACCACAGCCACAGGACCTCTGGCTGGCTGAGATAATCTCTGTCCTCTCCCTATAGGACCCCTAGGTCCTGCCCATGCTCACTTTGGACTTGGCCCCCAGGGACTAGGCAGAAGCCTAGGGAGTAAGTGGCATGAAGTGTGCCCTAGTGCATGAAGCCCTCATTCTGCTGAAGGAGCTTGAGCTGTCTGTGGGGTCTCTGAGTGGAGGTGGCCTGGCAGGAGGGACACAGGACAGAAAAGGGGGTCAGGGGAAGCAGGAGCAGACATAATGACAATGCCTCACCTGGTTAGGACAGCTGGGTTTCCGAAGCTTTCTCACTCGTGTGTGTGTGTGTGTGTGTGTGTGTGTGTGTGTGTGTGTGTGAGAGAGAGAGAGAGAGAGAGAGAGAGAGAGAGAGACAGAGGAGTCTCACTCTGTCACCCAGGCTGAAGTGCAGTGGTGAAAATACGGCTCATCACAGCCTCAACCTCCCAGGCTAAAGGGATCCTCTCACCACAGCCCACCAAGTAGCTGGGACTACAGGCACATGCCAACACACCTGGCCAATTTTTTTTTTTTTTTTTGTACTTTTAGGAAAGACAGGGTCTTACTATGTTATCCAGGCTGGTCTTGAACTCCTGGGCTCAAGTGATCTGCCCGCCTCAGCCTCCCAAAGTGCTGGGATTATGGTCATGAGCCACTGTGCCTGGCCTCTCACTCGTATTTCTGACTTGACTCTTACAACTTGGCAAGGTGTGTATAAACACCAAAGCTCAGAGAAGCACAATTTGTCCCCAGTAAGGTAGGTATTGATAGCTGCCATTTTCATTTTGAGGAAACGGAGGCTGGGAGCATTTGGTCCAAAGTCACAGAGCTGGATGCAGCAGAGCTGAGACTGTCACTTAGGACCTGTCACCTCTAGACCTGGTTTTCGCAGTGGTCCTAGGCTGCTTTCAAGAATATTCCAAAAAAAAAAAAAAAAAAAAGAATATTCCATGGGCTTTCAGATGTTCAAGGACAGACCTTGTGGGGGTCCCTGTGGGAATGGGGTGAGGTGGGAATTAACTTGTTTGAACCCCTTCTGATGACCGGCACCAGTGCAGTGTAAGTCCTTACCAGCAGCTGATCCCCTAGATCTGGCAACTCTGTGAACAGAGGACTGCTGTTATTCCTATTTACCAATAAGAATAGGGAGGGGGCCGGGCGCGGTGGCTCAAGCCTGTAATCCCAGCACTTTGGGAGGCCGAGGTGGGTGGATCACGAGGTCAAGAGATCGAGACCATCCTGGTCAACATGGTGAAACCCCGTCTCTACTAAAACTACAAAAAATTAGCTGGGCATGGTGGCGCGTGCCTGTAATCCCAGCTATTCAGGAGGCTGAGGCAGGAGAATTGCCTGAACCCAGGAGGCGGAGGTTGCGGTGAGCCGAGATCGCGCCATTGCGCTCCAGCCTGGGTAACAAGAGCGAAACTCCATCTTAAAAAAAAAAAAAGAATAGGGAGGGTCCCAGAGAGAAAATGGCTTGCCGGAGAGAGCCACAGCTTTGCCGTCTGCCTCCTCAGGCCAAGGTCTCTCTCCTCCGCCACATTACATTAGGCTAAGCTTGATGTAGGCTGGAACATTTATTTAGTTGCTGATTATGTGATAGAAGTACATCAGTCAATAAACAGGACCCCCATGGTTATTTACCTAATGTGAATATCACACAAATAAATAAGCCCCTATCAGGGGGACTTAAATAGTCTGGGAAGACTTCCCTGCAGAAGTAACACTTAGAGACATGAAGAGGGAGGCTGGCCTGGTGGCTCACGCCTGTAATCCCAGCACTCTGGGAGGCTGACGCAGGCGGATCTCCTGAGCCCAGGAGTTTAAGAGCAGCCTAGGCAACATGGCGAAACCCCATCTCCACTAAAAATACAAAAATTAGCCAGGTATGGTGGCACATGCCTGTAGTCCCAGCTATTTTGGAGGTTTGAGGTGAGAGGGTCACCTGAGCCCAGGAGGTCCAGGCTGCAGTGAGCCGTGATCACTGCACTCTAGCCTGGGTGACAGAGTGAAATTTGTCTCAAAGAAAGGAGGGGAAAAAAAAAGAGATGTGAAGAGGGGTCAGGAGCTAACTAGACAAGAAAGGAGGGAAGACCATGCAAAGCAGAAGGTAGAACATGTGCCAACATGCTGTGGCCACAGGAAATAGAACACCTCCATAGGACCCAGAACAGGTTGGTATAACTGCCTCCTAGCACACAGACCAGACTGTCTGGGGTAGGGAAGAGGGAAGGGACTGTCCCCCGGAATGGGGATTCTAAACAGCGGAGGCCCTGCTTTGAAGAGCCTCTCCCCTACCCCAGAGGCAAAGAATCAAACAGTGCTAGGCTCTCACTGGAAGTGCCTTGAGCGTTGAAGAACAGGCCCACAAGAGCTGGGGATTCAGCTACTCTCAAATCTCCTAGTAGAGCACCCCTGACCCAGAGAACCTTGCCAGGGCAGTGGTAGGCAAGGAGTCTCTCTGCCTCTCTAGGTCTGGCCTCCTTGGGCTCATGATAAACATAGGGACAGGGCCTGGGAACAGAAATTTAGGCTGAGGGGTACTGTGAGCTCACCCGCCAGACAGATCCAGCTGCCAGGACCCTTCCTGCCCTATATAGAGAGATTCAACTAACATTGCCCACCATCACTGCAAAACAAAAACAAAAAAAGCGAAAACTAAAAACTTTCCACTAGGGATCTGGCCAGCATTTAAGCCCTGATGAATGGGATGAGGCTGTTCTTTCTCCTTCCCTTCCCAGCCCAGCCGAGATAATCAGCTTCTTGGGGATGGGAGTGAAGGGTGAACCTCAGGCTTAATGTGGTCCATGAGAGAGTATGTGAAAAAAGGCCTACTAGGGAGAGAGGCCAGTGACCCTTCTTTCATGGATTCTAGTAGGGCAAGGGTTAAGAGGCAGGGCCAGGAAAAGTGCCCCACCCAGGGGAGGGACTGGTATGTTAAAAGGCAAGCAGCTTGAGGAAGAGGAGGGACAGATCCTCCCTGCATCCAAAGGCCTCCTCAGCCTGCAGCTCCAGCTCCAGCTCCAGCTCCAGGTAAGTGCACCTTCTCTGGGTCTATCTGCCTATCTGCTTGTTGGTCTGAACAGAGGGAACCTTCTGCATCATTATGCCATCTCTGGCTGGTATAACACTGGCCCTGGGTCCCCAAGAGATCTCAACAGACCCTAGCTCCAGTCCCCTTCCCATAACCCACCTGGGCTGTGCCTGATCACAGAATCAAGGAGACACTGGCCTGGGAAGGGAGCTGTAGAGCAGGGACTGTGGAGCTGTGTGTGTTCAGCCCTGACCTGTCCTGTCCTGCCCCAAGCCCACAGAGTTTTCCAAGCCATGCTTCCTGTGCCCTCAATGGGGCCCTGGCTGGGATATCATCATATACTGTAAGTTTGCGATAAGACACTACAGTATAGATGATGTACTAGTCTGGGCACCCCCAGCTCTGGGGCCTGACAAGGAGGGCAGGAGAGATGCTGCAAGCCCAGGAAGCTCTCTGCTAAGCCTATCACAGCCTGCCGACTGCCAGGGCACTTGGGAATGGCAAGGAAACCGTTACCATTACTGAGTTTAGTAATGGTAACGGTTCTCTTGCTGTACCCAGAAAACGTGCAAGAAGAGAACTCAGGACCCTGGAGCGGACTACTGGGAGACTCCAGCTGAAACAAGGCAGGGGTGGGGGCGTGGAATGGGGGGTGGGTGGAGGGAATACATACATTTTCTCTTTCCTGTTGTAAAGAAATAAAGATAAGTCCAGGCACGATGGCTCACGCCTGTAATCCCACCACTTTCAGAGGCCAAGGCAGGAGGATTTCTGGAGCCCAGGAGTTTGAGACTAGCCTAGGAAACATAGTGAGACTCAGTCTCTAATATTAAAAAATAAAAATAAAGAAATAAAATAAAAGGAATAAAGATGAGAACCAGAATGCTTGTCTTTTAACTTTATTAGTATCCAAGATGTGGGGAGAGGGATGGGGTGGGAGAGATCAAGAATTGGGGAGCAGATGGGAGGCGCTACCTCACTCAGGAGACTCAAGTCCATACCCAAGTTTAAGGTGAAAGAAGCAGGGGTGGAGAAAGATCTCCCTGCTCACAAGAAGGGCTCAGGGAGAAACTCTGGGCCCAAAGCCAGCTGGAGGCAAGGTGACACTGCTCCCACCAATAGGCCATCTTCTGTAGCTGTGGCCCCAGGCAGAGGAACCACCTGGGAACTGAGCTAAGGCAGGTTCCTTCTTCCAACGGGAAATAGAGCTGGGCAGGGACTGTGCAGACTCAGTAGGGCCACTCCAGCTGGCAGCCAGTCAGTGTTCATGTCCCTCACTAGTTCCTGGAGGGTTCCCTGCCAAGGACCGATCTGGTCAGTTCCTGCCAGCAGCTTGAGCTGGGATGCCCTGGGAGGGTCAGTAGAAGGTGGTCAGTTGAGGAGCTTCACAGAGAGGTGGATGTCAACATCACAGAGGAAGATGTTCATGAGGTCGCGGCTTGCCTCCTGTGCAATCTGGGAGATCATGTGGCCCTTCGGACCAATCAGGAGCCTCTGAGGGTATGTGAAAGAGAAGGAAGCCAGGAATGATGGCACATGCCTGTAGACCCAGCCACTCAGGAGGCTGAGGTGGGAGGATCCTTTGAGCCCAGGAGTTTGAGTGCAGCCTGGGTAACAGTGTGAACCCTCTTTAAAAAAAAAGAGAGGGTGGCTGGGCATGGTGGCTCATGCCTGTAGTCCCAGCACTTTTTTTTTTTCTTTTAGAGACGGGGTTTCACCATGCTGGCCAGGATGGTCTCGATCTCTTGACCTCGTGATCCACCCAGCTCGGCCTCCCAAAGTGCTGGGATTACAGGTGTGAGCCACCGTGCCCGGCCAATCCCAGCACTTTGGGAGGCCGAGGCGGGCAGATCACTTGAGATCAGAAGTTAGAGACCAGCTTGGCCAACATGGTGAAACCCCATCTCTACTAAAAATACAAAACATTAGCTGGACATGGTGGCAGGTGCCTGTAATCTCAGCTACTTGGGAGGCTGAGGCAAGAGAACTGATTGAACCCGGGAGGCAGAGAGGTTGCAGTGAGATGAGATCGTGCAACTGTACTCCAGCATGGGTGACAGAGTGAGACCCTGTCACAAAAAAAAAAAATTTAAAAAAGAGGCCGGGCATGATGGCTCACGCCTGTAATCCCAGCACTTTGGGAGGCCGGGGTGGGCAGATCACCTGAGGTCAGGAGTTCGAGACCAGCCCGACCAACATGGTGAAACCTCATCTTTACTAAAAATACAAAATTAGCCAGGTGTGGTGGCACATGCCTGTAATCCCACTTACTGAGGAGGCTAAGGTAGGAGAATCATTTGAACTTGGGAGGTGGAGGTTGTGGTGAGCCAAGATCACGCCATTGCACTCCAGCCTCAGCACTCCGTCTCAAAAAAAAAAAAAAAATTAGCTGCTCCCAAGCTCCTCAGGGGGCTGAGGTGGGAGGATTGCTTGATCCTGGGAAGTCAAGGCTGCAATGAGCTGTGATCGCACCACTGCACTCCAGCCTAGGTGACAGAGCAAGACTCTGTCTCAAAAAAAAAAAGAAAAGAAAAAGGAAAAAAGAGAGAAGGACATGGTCCTGCTCTCAGGGCTCACAAGCAAGGGGAAGAACTCCTGTCTAACACAGCCTTGATCTCTCCTCTGAGCCTAGTCTCACTTACCATATAAGATTCTTTGGGCACCAGAAGCTTCTGTTGGATAACCAGCTCCCCGCTCGGTCCTTCCTCCCACACTACCGTCTTCTATACAGGAAGACAACGTGATTAGTCAGTCATACCCCTGGGTATAGGTGTGTGCCTGATAGAGAGATCCCAGAACCCTTCACTCTGTACCTGCTGCACATTGTAAGGCACCTCCTGGGGCAGGTACTCTAGAAGCTTCTCTCGGATGATGTTGGCACAGATCTCTTCTGGTGTCTGGTTAGTAAGGACTTCACTGTGATACTCCCAGGGCCCTGGCTGGGCCCGTGCTAGGAGGTATTTCTGTGGGAACAGAGGGACTAGATGGGCATCTTAGTCCCAATGAGGACTTTTCTACTCACTTTTGCTTCCAGGAAGAAATCTGGGGGCTGTCTTCATATGGTAGAAACCAAGGGCCATGCTACAGCCAAAACTAACTGACCTTTAGGGTTTGCACATCTTCCTGGCTTAGGGCTGACAACATGAAGATCTCCTGGAAGTGTGGCCAGCCAGTCCTCTGAGGGCTTCCCACAGATTGTGTGTTTGGATCCTTAACAGCTGGGCTGGGGCAATGGGTGCCAGGGTGTGAGTGGAAGGCGTGCCTCATCTTGAGCTTTTTGCCATTGACCACACCTTCAGTGAGGGCTGCCGTGAGCTCCAGGAGAACTGACTTCTGCTTCAGACAATCTACCTGGACATGGGGGACAGGTAAAGGGTGTGTAGTCAGAGATAGGGGACTTAGAGGGAAATAGACCTCCTCCTCAGGTGGGTAGTGCTCACCTTGTTCATGACCAGGATACTAGGGACCTGGGAGAACTTGGTCAAACACCTGAGCAACTGGGGGTTGAGCTGGTTCCGAGTCCACTTGTCTGAGACATCCACAAGAACCACAACTGGAAGTTGGCAAGGCAGGAAGAAGGATGAGAAAATGGTCACTCTTCTTCCTCCCACCCTGACAAAAACTTCCATGATATGAGCTCTTGCTTTTGCCCCCCAAACTACTGGGAATGAAAGGCCATAACCCCTGTAAACTGGGCTTAAGATTCCCATCCTGAACCTAACCAAGATCAGCAGATTCCATGCTCTTCCATGGATCTTCCAACAAAGAGAGCTCCAGATGGTGCCTGAGGAACAGACAAACATCAGTCAAGAAGGACCTTGTGACTTAGGCATTTCTGACAAGGGATGTGGGATGGTAAAGGAGTTTTCCAGCCCCTATGATGGAATTTCCCCACCCTCTTTCAGTACCTCCCCCCATCCACCCTCTGATTCCACAGCCATTACCTCTTCTGTTTAACAGGACTGATAATGCCAGGTGTGTCAAGTAGAATCTAAAATCAGGAAAGTGAGATACCCAGACCCCAGGAGAAAAGATTATGACTGGGAAGTGACAGAGAGGCCACCCATGATGTCAGGAGCCTGCCCTCCCTCCCTTCTCAGCCAAGCTGTTACTGACTTTAGGTTTTTTTTTTTTTTAGACAGAGTCTCACTCTGCCACCAGGCTGGAGTGCAGTGGCACAATCTTGGCTCACTGCAACCTCCACCTCTTGGGTTCAAGTGATTCACCTGCCTCAGCCTCCTGAGTAGCTGGGATTACAGGTACCAGCCATCAGTCTCAGCTAATTTTTGTATTTTTAGTTGGCCAGGCTGGTCTCAATCTCCTGACCTCATGATCTACCTGCCTGGGCCTCCCAAAGGGCTGGGATTACAGGCGTGAGCCACTGTACCCAGCCAGGTTTTTTTTTTTGAGACAGTCTCACTCTGTGGTCCAGGCTGGAGTGCAGTGGTGCCATCTCGCCTCACTGCAACCTCTGCCTCCCACGTTCAGGCAATTCTCCTGCCTCAACCTCCCAAGTAGCTAGGATTACAGGTGTGTGCCACCATACCTGGCTAATTTTTGTATTTTTTTTAGTAGAAACAGAGTTTTGCCATGTTGGCCAGGCTGATCTCAAACTCTTGACCTCATCTGTCTGCTTCGGCCTCCCAAAGTGCTGGGATTATGGACGTGAGCCACCGTGCCTGGGCTGACTTTAGGATTTTACCATTCTGCTTAGTTGTTTTTTTTTTTTTTGGTGAGCGGTTTTGCCCCTGTTAACCCGGGCTGGAGTGCAATGGCGCAATCTCGGCTCACCGCAACCTCCGCCTCCTGGGTTCAGGCAATTCTCCTGCCTCAGCCTCCTGAGTCGCTGGGATTACAGGTACGCGCCACCATGCCCAGCTAATTTTTTGTACTTTTAGTAGAGACAGGGTTTCACCATGTTGACCAGGATGGTCTCGATCTCTTGACCTCGTG